TAGTAAATATTCATATTATTTAAAAAACTTACATGTATACATTAGCATAAATAAATAGTCTTGCTTCACTTCATTCATGGACTGTTGTTTTAATAAAAATAATAAATTTTATTTTTATATAAAATCCGTGAAACAATGAGATAAGTATTTGAGATCATATGATTTAATATTCTGTGTAATACTAATCATGTGTGTTGGTAAAAAAAATTTGGAAGTAACCACTTTGATAGTGACGATCCCCCAAAATTTACTGATTGTGTTGTCTACTACTTCTATCGCGGATCACGAATTAAAAAATTTTTGGTGTTTATCATCTGCCATCTAAAATCATACACTAGACCAAAAAATATACCTAAAAAAACTATCAATTAAACTAATAGTTATTTTTTTTACCTATGGCGGGTATGAGTGTTTATTAAGTACCTCTCACCTTACTTTTTTAGTTCAATAACAAGTAAGACCGTTAGAACGCTATAATTAATATTAAAATTATGTCTTATGTTACAACAGAACTTATTTCAGAAAACCAAGAAGAACCCAATACTTTTCAAGAAGCAGAAGAACTTGAAGTAGACACTGAATTGATTTCTGAAGAGTTATTATTGACTAGTTTATCAGAAAGCTCATTTGGTATGTACACGTGTATATTTTATATTAACTAGGTGCTGCTGGTCTATAAAATGTCAAGGAGGGAATTATCAAAAGGGGAATGTGAGAGGCTGAGAAAAGACGTAAATTCTTTTTTTTGGATTTGCTTATAGAAGACGACATGGAAGAAGAACTTCTGATAGATGAAACATTATCACCACTTGAAAAAATATCTTTATATGTAAGAAGTGAATTAGCATTTCATAGGTAAGCAAATAATATTTTATACATTGATTTTTTGTTTTAAAAAAAAAATAATTGCTTATTGACGCTGACAGACAAAAATAATATTTTTTTTGAGAGTGTTCATTGCAAAAGAATTTCCAGCATTAATAAGGGATGTTGAAGTCAGTGAGGCCTTAGAATATGTATTACCATTAATTATTTCTCTAGGAACCGATCCAGGTTGATTAATTGATTGATTGTGTTAGGTACTTTTCGCTCTGGATACCCTTGATTTCGCATTTTACAGTTGTCAATTTTCAATTTACTGCATTTTGTTAGAGGACCATGTTAAAGAAGCTTTCGCTACTCAATTGGATGATATCATATGGTTTTATTATTCTGTAAGTGTTTTCATTATATAATAACAAAAAATAATAATTTAAATATATATGTATAGTGTATATTCAAAATAATTATTAAATATTTTAAATGATATTGTTATTGTTGTTGTTTTGTTTGCTTGTTTTATCATTAAATAGCATTGTACACTCAGAGAAGCTGCAGATTGTTCACCAATTGACATAGTGGATTTAAGACCCCCAACAACTCAAATATCGCAAACTCTCCAAAGACCACAGACACCAATACAACATTATAATTCGCAACAAACATCATCTCAAACACCATCTCCGGCTAATAACACTCCGTATTTATCACCTTCTGCCTTTACTTTTTTACTCCGTGCTCTTCTTCTTGATCAAAACACGAGAATTGCACAAGCAGCTCAAGCTACAATTCAGTCGCTTGTTGAACGGGTATTAGAGGAACTTGGTGTTAAATCCAAAAAAAAAGACTTATTAGAAAAAGAAATATTAGAAGGTGTCGTTCTAGGCATTGGCAGATTAGATCAAGAGAAATTTAGAAAGGAAGAAATAAATGAATGGGAACATTATGGTGATGAACATGGTGTTAGCACTGTGTCTGGTAGGGAAGAAGAAGCAGAATTGGGAAGAATTACAATGATGTCTGTATGTATTTTTATCTTTAATAATAATTTGTTATTTATTATCTTATGAACTTTTATATATATGCATACATTTATATACAGTTAATATCTTCTTTGGCACCTATCGTTGGACCAGAAAGATGTACTCGTTTATTTTTGCCAGAATTGGAAAAAATGATCAATGAGCAAGTATTTTATGTGCGAAAGGTATGAATTGTCTTTATCATCATCATCATCATTGTCGCTATTATTATTATCGTCATTTTTATTATCATTTGTTATAAATAATTGAAATTTAGTATTTTGTTTGCTGTTGTTGTGTATGTATAGGAAGCAGCTTTGGCTTTGGGCACTTTGTCAGGAGTATTACCATTGGACATCATTATATCAAAATTGGTAAATATTAATTTAATTCAATTTGAGCAATTGAAAATATTATAGAGATTGTTGATATTCAGGAAAATAAATAAATAAATGATGTCAAAAGTTACCTATATACGACCATTTCTCAAATGATGCAATTTGGCACGTGCGCCGTTCATGCTGCTTAATCCTTCCTACAATATGTTCTCGGCTTCCAGATGAAATGAAATCTGAACGTGCAACGAGTGGAATTGAACTTTTTGCCGGAGACGTAAGCAGAAGTGTAAGATCAGCTGCAGGGGATATTATTGGTGAACTAATTGCATTATTTTACCCAAATGGAAAAGTACCTGAAAGTCTGGTTCAATATTTCCTAAGTTTAATCAATAACAACAACAACAACAACAATAATGTCCCTGGTGAAATATACAGTGGCCTTAAACAAAGGGATCCTGAAAGACCATTTATTTGTGCATTTAATTTTCCTGGTATTTATTTCTTTAAACAAAGAAAATAGAAAATGTTATGTGTGTAATAACATTTTAAAAAAATATTTCTTTTATTGAGAAATTTTTTCTAATTTAAAATAGCTGTTGTTTTAACTTTGGGTGAAAGCCGTTGGGATGATCTTAAAGAAACTTATCTCTTATTAACACGGGACATACAGGTATAATTATTTAAAAAAATTTTAATTTTTTATATCTTAGTTGTCCAGCCATTGTAAAAATGATTCTGAATTTAATTCGCTTTGACTTTTCATTATTTTGGTAGGCTAAGGTTAGAAGATCATTATCTTATTCGCTTCATGAAATAGCAAGAGTTATTGGTCCTAAAAAAGCAGAAGAATGTTTATTAGCGGTCTTTACTCTCTATCTTGTTGATGCAGATGAAGTTCAATCTGGTGTTGTAGAAAATCTTGCTTCATTTATTAGTTGCTTGCCACAAAAAGCTAGAAATAATTGTCTGCCTCCTTTATTTGGTATATGGGATGATTTAAAACAACGATGGCGTTTACGAAATACAATTGCAAGGTATGATGAAACTTTCTTTTTTTGTAATTAGCATTTTATATTCATTTTTTTAATTGATTTTGCTCTCTTGAAAATATGTAAAGGCAAATGCCAACAATATGCCGTCTGTTTGATAGCAGAAATGTAATAAATTATTTACTGCCGTTAGCTATAAAAGCTGTTAAAGATGATGTTGCTACTGTGAGAGAAACTGCAATTGCTTGCGTAAGTTTTAAATTAAATGACCAATATATTATAACTATGACTTATTTGTAAAAAAATATTAATCAATATATATATATATTATTTACCTATTAATTGATTTTATTGATTTTATTTCTTTTAGTTTCCAGCTTTATTTGAAGTTGTTTATAATGATGATACATTATTTGCTGAATTGATAAATTGTGTGCGTGAATTCGCATTCGAGAATAAATTTCGATCAAGAGTAGCGTAAGAAAATAAATGATTAAATGATTGTTATTATTCCATTTTATAATATAATTCATTGTTTATTGTTTATTACATAATTTAGATTTATACAAATTTGTCGAGCTCTAGTTTTATCAGCATTCCCTAAACCTGAATTTGAAAGATATTTCATCCCTATTTTGAAAAATTTTTCAACAGATAATGTTGTTAATGTTAGAATTACATTAGTAAGACTAATTAGAGATTTATGTCGAATAGGTATACTTTGAATTAATAATTATTTTTTTTAATAGTAAATTAGTTATTTAGTTAATTAATTAATTGATTAATTATGTATTTTTTTTAATAAGAACAATATTATCAGGATCCAATGAGCAAATCACAAATCATTGATATGATTAAACAACTTGCAGAAGATCCTGATTTTGATGTCCGCTCATTATTATTTATGACATTATCACATGAAGAAAGATTAAAGTTTATTACGACAATACGGCAGCAGCCAACGACAGATATAAAATCGATGAACCCACAAGAAAAATTAAATGCTATAGATGCTAAAAATAATGATGATAATAATGATAATAACAATAACAATAGTAACAATATTGATAAAGATGTTAACGCAGATAAAGTTAATGTTGATAACAATGCTGATGTTGATAACAATGTTGATGTTGATAACAGTAATGATAATACAAATAATGACAATGATAACAATAATGATAACAGTAGTACCAATGCTAACAATGCAGTATCAATAGTGAATCACCATCAACAATAGAAAATAATTCTGAACTAGTTGGCACGATCATTGGTGAAACTCTAATTCATATATAAAAACCAATAATATCATTATTGTGGATAATAATAATAATACTTGACTCATGTTATCAACACTTTATTTAAAAATCTCAACTATCAATTAATTGCTTTCTTTTTCATAAAATTGAACAATTTCTATTATTTGATGCTGTTGAGACAAAATCATCAACTTTAAAATCATAGCATTCTTTTTTCATCATAGCAAAAACTATTTTTTGTATATTTAATTTTAGGTTCTTTATGCATATATATACACAATATATAAAAATAATTAGACATCCAAAATCTTATGTTTATATATATATAGTATTATTATCATCATTGTCATCTTGTCCAACATTATTTCATCTCTTCATCAAAAACTTTCTTTCAAATTGCATTTTTAAATAAAAACAAATTTTTTTTTTAAATTAAATAAAGACTATTAATTATTGTTGTTGTTTATATTAAAATAAAATGCACGTTTTGAAGAAACAAAAGCTTTTGGTTTTTTTAATTTATTGATTAAAAAATAAATGTTAAATAAATAAATTGAATGCAAGTTGTAAACCCTATTGATCTTTAACACTTAAAGTATCAATAAGTTTTTCCAACATAGGATTTCCGCCTAATCTTTCAACTTCGTCTTTTGCCTCTTTTTCAGTTTTTGCCAGATAATTCTTTGTGTACTCGAATGAATTTGTATCTTTCATTAGTTTAATAGCATGATGCTTTAACTCAATTGATGTTGTGTGTTGCTTTAATATATCTTTATTGGTTTTGTGGAGTTAAGAAATAATTCTTTTTAAAAATATTAAAAAAATTATAATTTTATTTAAAAAAGGATACTGAATAATTGTCTGTTGTTAGGATCTTTATGAAGTGAATGTATAATTGGAAAAGAAAACTTTCCTTCAGTTAAATCTTCACAAAACCCTTTGTTATCGGCATACTATATACATATAAGTATTAATTATGATGATCATTAATAATTTCAAACATCATCATTATCATCATCATTATAATCATTTTTATTTACCTTTTCAGATTGTAAATTCATATAATCATCTCTTATTTGGAAATGAATACCGATAATACTCACTAATTCAACATAATCTCTATATTATATATATATATATATATATATATATATATATATATATATATTTAACAACTTATTATCAATTCTTCCTTTTTGTGAAGTTCATAATAAAATATATAGATTGTTTAATTACTCTTTTGATTCACTAAATTCTTGCATCAATCTAACCCCAAGACGTAATAAACCCCCAGTTTCTATAATAATCATGACAACGTATATGTAAATATATATTAGAAATAAATAAATCATACAATCATAAAAACATATATTAAAATCACATATTATAATAATATTGTTATTACTATTTGAAACCATTCCAATAAATTCTTCCTCTGTTGGACATGTAAATGTATCTCTCCAATAAAGCTCCATTCCTTGACCACGATGTAAATTTAATAATTCCTCTATAATATTTGATATATATATGAATTTGAATATGTTTATCAAAAATTTTACATAAATATTCTCAATCGATACCTGTAAAAATATGGAAAACATTTGAATTATTAAGTTTCGATAGTTCATTTAATGCCAAAAAATATACATAATTTGCACAATTAATTGTTGAAGGTATGCCATAAATAGAATGTGCAACTAGAATTTAAAAAACCAAATCAATGTTAATAATAAATCAATCACTATCAACATGTATGATATAATATAAATGTGTTTATGTATTGCTCACCTGGAACTCCTCGTCGTAAAGTAGAATCGTCTTCAACATCATCAATTCTATTATTATTATAATCATCAGAATATTTAAAAAGAGGTTTCACCACATATGTATGAAAAACTGGTTGATAAATTGGAAAAATTTTATAATTGCTTACAAAAGACTGGCAGTATGCAACATTTCTACCAACTTTGCTATAATTTTTAATTGATCTTTTGGAACCTTAAGCCAATAATCAAATGCATCGATTAATTTAGTTCTAATTTCTTTACCAGGATACGCTAAAAGATAATTAAAAGGCTCAAGAAGTATCTATATTATCACAATAACAACAATATGAGTATATAAATTTCTTTCAAAAAAAATTTATAAATTTAAATTGAAAATTTTATATTAGACCTTTTCTTTTTCAGCAGACCAAGAATTAAGAGTATTTTTTATTTCTTCCATTTTAAATAAAATTCAAAAAAATTTCAGAATTGGATAGAGTATTAAATATCAAATATTGGTGGCCTGGGTGTAGGAGTGATTGATGTGACAAATACAATTAAATACCTGATGTTTACATTATTTAAAAAGTTATTTCTTGAATACTTCAGTACTACATCCGTTTACAATAGCGATTATTAATATTAATATTAATATTAAACTTTACTTATGTTACCGGAAGATCATGTCCGCAACTGTATTCATATTTTGACTAATACTAATGGATAGATAAATAATAATATTATTATAGTAATATTAATTTAGGAACATCCGAACGAGTTTTAAAAAATAACAATGATAACCTTAATAAATATTAGGTGATTAGGGAAAAGATGTCATACTAAATTGTTTATGACATTCTATTTGGGGCATGCTACAACAAAACCAGACAAAGTGAACATTGATATTACCAAGAACTTCAGGGATCAAAATTTAGTCATTTGTAATTTGATCATAATAATTTTGCAAAAGGTTCATCCAATTTTTAAAGACTATCAGGAACTAAAAAACATAAGATTTGTACCGCCGATTTAGTTTTGATTTTTAGTTATTTTGGTTATTGGTTTTGACTAGTCGGTTTAGTTATTATATCCACGTTATTTAATTTTTATTTAATACACTTATATATTATAAACCATTGAGTATTTTTATTAATTACATAATGATATTTTAAAGTATAATAATATTGCTAAAAATAAAAAAAAATAACTTAAAATTGTATCTACAGAAGTATTCAAAGAAGTGCTTCTACTTCATCTGTATAATTTTTTTTTCCAATGACAAATATGAATTTATACAATTACTATCAATCAGGTAAAGAAAGTTATTTAAATATTATGATAAAATATGTTGCAAAAAAGAATGTGGTGACTTTTGTGTCCTAACCAAAGACGATAATTTTTGTCTTCTTTCGCACTCCTTTTGTGTCTTCCTTCTCTGATTGTTCAAATTTTCGATCTTATTTTTAGTATTAATAATTATATTCTGTAAAACAAAGAATTTCCTTAATTAATTTTTAAAGTGACGATTGATAACCTTTTAATATATATACGTACAATAATATTTTTGAACACTTCTATGATTTTCTCATTGTTCTCTTCCTTAACTGGAAGTTGTATTCTTTCTACTTCTTTTACTCTATATAAACCATAACATGGCTTATCAAGTACATATAACCGAAGGAAGAATCCTAAAATAAAATTCAAATTTTTGTTAGTAAATTATAACATTTAATATGTGATAATTAAAATTTGTTGCAAAAAATTATCAATCTTAATACTAAATCCCACACATACGTACTACATATTTCACCTTTCTATATTAATATTAATATAGCAGTAGTCTTACCTGTAACTAGGATTCCGTATACAGTGAACCCTCCCTAAGTGCACCCTCCCTAAATGCATGCACTCCATAAATGCACACCCTCCATAAATGCATGCTCACAAGAAATAGCAGTATGTTCCCAAGGGGGGTGCACTTATAGAGGGTTCACTGTACTTCAAAATCGGAAAAAGAGCCAAGGTTTATATTACCATTTTTTATATATCTTTCATCATACGCATCAGTTTTTTTTTATCTTTGCTAGTTTTGTCAATGCACTCATCCCATGTGTTTCCAGCAACTTCGCCTATGAGATATTCATAACATATTTTTCTTGATCGGGTAGATGCTATCTTCGATTTGAATGATAGATCAGGCTTCTTTCCTATTTTCACCCGTTGCTGATAATATACAAAGACAGTTGATTAATAAACATAAATAAAAGTTTTTTAGAAAAAACAATCACCTTTTTAGTATACTTGTTTTCTTTATTTCTGTCTGATTCATCAGATGAGGATGAATTAGGATTATTACATTGATATTTTGATGAATCACTTTCTTTCTCTGGTCTATAAAAATATTTATAAGCAATTTATTGACAAGATCAAAATAATGTATAGGATACTTACCCAAGAAGTCTGACATCTTTGAGAACTCTTGATGCATTAATAAACCTTCATTTTCCCATGTTCCTTCACTAATCGATTTGTCATGTACCATATAATCATCAAGTCGTTGAATAGCATCACTAAATTTAAAAGGAATGATCAAAGATTATTGAATTGATGAATTTAGAACAAAAATAATATAAATACAATAGTAGTTGCAATTTTTGATGATGGTTGTAACCATAGTTGCAATATATGAAAATGGCTTGTAACACCTGGTTACAACCACTTTTGCAATCATTTGTTTCTTTTTTTGGATTGTGACATAGAACATTAAGTAGTAGTACTGCAAGTGTGCAATCCAAGTTTCCTAATTAACAGGTTACTTATAGCTCAACACACAGCCTACTTGCTGACTTACAGTTGATTCTATTGTTTGACACACAGCCTGCTCACTGACTTACAGTCAAAGTTTAATAAAATAACTTTTATCTTTTCAGATAAAAGGGTCCCTAGGTTCTATTTAAGTAATTATATCCCAAAGGTGTCCCCCTGAGATGTGCCTTACTAGTAAAAATGTTGGTTACCTTTCAGGTATAGCAAAGGTTTCCCTTTGTAGTTTATTAATTGATCAGTGATTTTTAAGGTAAAATATGTTATGTGTTTTATTAGCGATAATGATATTATTATTACAATGTGTTAGGAAGTATTAATTATTAGATCAATGATTAAAAGATTGTTATGAACATGATGATTCTGACTTGGTCTAAAACAGCATAGTGGAAGTTTGTTGTTACACGAAACGTTATGCAGAACTTATTGCTTCTGAAACTTTGCCATTATATAGTTGTTACCTCTCTAAATTGGAGATCAAGTTCAGATCCAATTCAAATCCAGTTTATCACTTACTTTTTATTGCCAGAATGTTTGCTGTGTATTGTAAAGCTACGTTGCACAATATAAAAAATTAGTGTAACATTTCAAATTTCTACTATGCTGTACGTGTCGATCAAATAACAAACTTCTTTAAAATTATGCCACCACAAAAACGTAAAGAAATTAAAAAGAAGAGCAAACACCAAGAAGCAGAAGAAATTTATAGGTAAGTGTTTTAAGGATGGGTGGTGGTTATCGCCTGCCACCTGTTGTCGTTACTCTAGTTAAATAAAAATTAACTTTGCTTGTACATAAACAAACCAGCAGAAAAGTCAAAAAAAACATTTTGCGCGACTTGACATCGTTAAATTCAATTGCTGCTTCTATTGATGATAATTTATCAAATTTATCACCCAAAGAAAAATCTATAAACTACTTAGTTGGACCAGGTGATGTTGAATGGAAGTTAAAAGAGCATGTGAGTACTTTTTACAAAAATGTAATAGTATTGGATCTCCAGATGTTCTTTTTTGAACTGTCTTCCTCTTTTCTCCATATAGTGGCTCGTAAATGACGCAGATATTACAGAAATTTTTTGGAAATATAGAACTGCAGCATTTACCAAATGTTCACCAATGACAACCACATTAAAACCAGAAGAAGAACTGTTCGTATCATTTTGTGAAAATAAATTTTGGAATGTTGCTGCGTGATTAATTTCTTTACTTTTTTTTGTAGTGCTTTAAGTCATATATTTGTCTTGCAAGAGGAAAATCTTCAAGGGTTGTCTCAATACTTCAAAGAAGAATTATGGCAACAATTATTTGACAATATACGAAGCAAATACCCACACCAACCAGTACCAACAGCAGTTCATGACCTTGTTAACAAAGTCATGAATGTAATGTAATATTTGTTAACACCTTTTCCAATTAATTATATGCAATCTAATGTATGCTTCATCATGTTTTAGATAACATATTCTGAACCAAGTCATCATCGATGTCGAAATATAATCAAAACATTCCTTCACGACATCAAACCTGCCACAGATTCTGAAGAAATAATGTTTAAAATTCTTCGAAACCTGTAAGGTTTTATGATATAATGTTCTTTATCAAATAGAAGTATGCTAACAAGGTTATTTCATGTTCTACAGGGCAGAAAATAATACATCATCTTTTAGTGATGACTACAATGAAGATACCTTTATTCACGATATTATCGAACCTGTTGTTAAGCCGTTCTTTGCTAATAACAGGAGAACAGCTATGAAGTGGTATGTATTGATTGATTGGTGTTTACTATGATGATCCACGCCATGTCATGTTCAATTTTCTATGTATCTGTAGGTCCAACACAACTTCAATATCTTTGGCTCAAATGAAAAAAAAGTTCGACCCAACTTTAATGGGAGTCAGACCTGACTTTATTGTTCATACTATAAATTATAACAATTACATTGAACTACTAATTGGAGAATTCAAACCACCTGGTACAAAAGTATCTTTAGTGAATGAAGATTTCGTATGTCTTGGTAAGACAATGAAATATTGTCTGGACAAAGGAATTGAGGATGGAATGGAGGATCTTGTTATCGGTGGACTTCAAGTTATTGGTAAGTTGTGTTTGGTTAATATGGACGAAGTTTTATTTGGGTGAGTAATTTCTCCTTTGATATTTTAAATTATCATAGGGTTTTTAGGACATATTTATATTATGGATCTTTGTTTTGATGGAGTTTATAGAATGATATTACTTGGTGAAATTCTATTTCCTGAAGGTATTGCTACATGGGGAACTTTAATTAGATGTTTTCAGGTGCTAAGTACATTAAAGGCAAGCAAACAAATTCAACATGAAGAAATAATAGCAATTATCTTGATTATCTTAATGTTCTATTTGTTAATAATGCATCTTTTAGAATTTTGTCAATAATGAGGCTGTTGCATATCAAATCACAATTCAAAAATCACAACATACAAAATCACAAAAACTTCGATTAATTAAACAATCATTTCTTGATCCAATAAAATTATCAGTACAGAATGAAAATTCGAAAACTAAGACAAAAGTAAAGAATTGAATTTATTTTTTATAATTAGCTTATTTCAGGTGTTGTTATTATATATTACTGTTTATTATATTACTCTTAAATATTTATCATTCTCCCCTTTTTCTTTTTTTTGAAAAAAATTTTCAAAAATGCATAATTTCATTTAAATTTATTAAGTTTTATAAATAAATTATATTGCAAGTATTTATCACATTATATACAATATATATATTATTTGATTCTAGCCTTCCAGTAGAAAATACAATGAACTAATGAAATTAAAATATCCAATAATGAATGATAATAAAACAAAACAGCTAAAAAAATTTTTTTAACAACAATATTGTTTCTAATATAATAACAATAATTGGATCAATAGTGACATACAGCAACAAAACCAAAAAAATAGATTCTCATGAGGAGTTTAATGAAAACTTTGATGCTGAATGATTCTTTGTCTCTTTGCTGTCTTTTTTTTTTCTTACTTTTTCATTATTTCTTTCTTGTAATTATTAATTTTTCCTTAATAAAGAATTGATAAAAAATATTATAAAACTGATAATTATAATCACATTACAAATGACTAAATTTTGATCCCTGAAATCATTGGTAACACCAATGTTCACTTTGTCTGGTTTTGTTGCAGCATGCCCCATATATTACAGTATTAATTGTTTTGCATCAAAGAAATGAATTGGACCTTGAACTTAAAAACACCAATGCTAATGATTTTAGTATTGATGTCTTTGTTTTTTGAGTACTTCAATATTTTTCCATTTTTTTTTCTTTTATTTTATTGTTTGTTTCAATCTTACACCTGGACCTAGATTGAAATTTCATATTAAAATTCGATCTCAATCTCAATCTCGATGTGAAAATTTTTGAATGCAGATCGAAATAATTCTTAATCTCAATCTAATAATTTTTGAAGGCATCCCATTAATTGGTTGATCGCCTTCTAATATATTTTTCATTATGATATCTTTCAAACAATCTGGATCCCGATTTTTATCTAATTTGACACTCACATCTTTACTGTTTTTAAAAATGGAATAAACATAAAGGGTGATTTTTAATTTTTTCATGGTTTATGATGACTTCAGATTTTTACACCATATCAATATTATGCCAAGATCTACCGAAAATCTTGACATAAATGGAATAAAAAGAGAAGCATTGATTCTATGTTCGTGATTGGAAGGTGACAAATAATTAATTGTCGCAGCAAGTTAGTAAAAATCACATGATTTATAATTAAACTGATTCAAAAAAAAATTTTTCATGGAATCGAAAAAATCCCTTTTGATAGGTCTTTGTGTTATAGGTGTTGTTGGTGTAGGATATGCCTTTTATTGGGACTATAAAAGACAAAATGATCCTGAATTTAGAAGAAAGATCAGTAAGTGATTAAAAAAATTTTTTAATTAAATCAAAATGATAACAATAATAATTATTACAAATAATTCAAACAACTCTTTTATTAATTAAAGAAAGAAGTAAAAAACGTGCGTTGAAAGCCAAGAAAGCAGCAGAAGTAGATGCTAAATTAAAGACTGCTGATTTTGTTAGAAAAGCTGTCGATGAAGTTTCAACCGAAAGTTTTCCTTCTGATGTTAATGCAAAAGAAAAATATTTTATGGAACAAGTTGCTAAAGGAGAATCTTTGCTTGCAGCTGGTAAGTACACGTTTATACTTATACGTAAATGTTGTGTTTGATTTTTCTATAAATGTAAGTATGTATATCTTTTAGGTGAAAATGGATATGATGAAGCCGCTCTTTGTTTTTACAAAGCACTAAAAGTTTATCCTAGTCCTGTTGAATTAATTATGATCTATCAGAAAACCATACCTGAAACAATATTTAACATGGTATATGAAATGATGAGCCTCGAGGTGATTTTTTTAAAAAAATTTGGTACTGATTTGAAATTTGTTAAACTTTAATTAATATAATTATTATTGGAACTATATATAATTTTTATTATTTTGATTAGGTCAAAAAAAAACAATCTGAATATTTCGAAAAATTTCCACCAAAAGAAATGAATGTCAAGGTTAAGGATGTTAATAAATCTTCAGATCTTGAGGATCAAACACGTCGAGGGCTTTTTGCTACAAAAGATTTTCAACCTGGTGAAACTATTTTCGTTGAATTACCTTTAGCTTCAGCACTTGATCC